GCTGTATATAACACTGCATGTCCTGCATGCTAGGCTGCTGTATATAACACTGCATGTCCTGCATGCTTGGCTGCTGTATATAACACCGCACGTCCTGCATGCCTGGCTGCTGTATATAACACTACCATCTGCATGCACAACTCTAATGCGCCCTCGCACCGCCGTCTCTGCATGCAACTGTATATAACTGCCGTCACTGCATGCTGGCTTGCTGTATGCCTCAAAATCCATGCTTGGCTGCTGCTGCTTACCGCACGTCACCGTAGCGGCATATACTCTCCTGCGTCCTGCATACCTGGCGCTGTATATACCGCGTACTGCATGCGGCAGCATATAACTTGCGCGAACCGCCGTAGCAGCTGCTGTATATATAACACTGCATCTACGTAGCAGCCTTGTATGTAACACTGCTGCGTCCATAAGCAGCTTATACCAACCAACACCGCCGTCACTGCATGCTTGGCTGCTGAATGTAACACTGCTTGCGTCCTGCGTAGCGAAACATATATATATATGCTACCGTCTCTTCGGCTAACACGAAACATGTATATAACTTTACTGCACATCCTGCGCCTGGCTATATATATAGCACTGCACGTCCTGCATACTTGGCACCTTTTAATATATAACACTGCACGTCCTGCATGCTTGGCTGCTTTGTATATAACTTACCGGATGTCACCAAATATGGCTGCTGAATATATATAACACCGCCGTCCTGCATGCTTGGCTGCTGTATATAACACCGCCCGTCCTGCATGCTTGGCTGCTACGAATGTAACACTGCGTCCTGCATGCTTGGCTGCTGAATGTAACACCGCACGTCCTGCATGCTTGGCTGCTGTATATAACACTGCACGTCCTGCATGCTTGGCTGCTGAATGTAACACCGCACGTCCTCCATGCTTGGCTGCTGAATGTAACACTGCACGTCCTGCATGCTTGGCTGCTGAATGTAACAACGCACGTCCTGCATGCTTGGCTGCTGTATATAACACCGCACGTCCTGCAGGCTTGGCTGCTGTATATAACACCACACGTCCTGCATGCTTGGCTGCTGTATATAACACCGCACGTCCTGCATGCTTGGCTGCTGTATATAACACTGCATGTCCTGCATGCTAGGCTGCTGTATATAACACTGCATGTCCTGCATGCTTGGCTGCTGTATATAACACCGCACGTCCTGCATGCCTGGCTGCTGTATATAACACCGCACGTCCTGCATGCCTGGCTGCTGTATATAACACTGCACGTCCTGCATGCCTGGCTCCTGTATATAACACCGCACGTCCTGCATGCTTGGCTGCTGTATATAACACCTCACGTCCTGCAT